TACAACAAATGCTTCAATTTTCTATTCTCCAAATAAAAATCAATGGCAACGGAGAGGTAAAATCAATGTCTAGCGCTCTGTAGAGAGAACTCCCCCCGCCCCATCTCTTGCCCACAGAACAATAAATCAGGCCACGCCATCCCGACTGGCAGCATATCCCCTCTGCAGGTAGTGTGACTTTCTGTCCACCCCTCTGTCCCTTACAAGGGTGTTTTATTTAAGAAGACCCAAGAGAATATTTTTTAAAACCTAAGTCACTAAAAATAACGTATGGCTGTGTTAAAAACTCCTCTTCCCCAAACAAACCCATTTTCCAGGGGGATCTTTGGCATCGAAGACCAGAGTTTGATTTAACTGTCTCCCTAAGGACCCATTTTCCATTATTGAGCCTTAGAGAATGTGCAGGTATCCCAGACAACCAATGACAGGCTTCCTGTCACCACAGATCAGCTTGCATTCTCTAGACTTCCTTGTAAATGGGAATCATATAATATATACTCCTTTTTAAGATTGGTCTGTCTTCTTTCACTCAGCACACTTATGACATTCATTCATGCTGCCACATGTATCAATAGCCTACTTCTTTTTATTGCTGAGTGGCGTTCCATTACAATAGAGAGACCACATTTGGTTTATCCATTCATCGGTTGATGGGTATTTGGGTTGTTTCCAGCTTTTTGCTACAGCAAATAAAGCTGCTATGGACATTCAGAGTGAGTCTTTGAATGGACCTGTGCTTTCATCGCACAGCCTAGGCACGGATCTTTTGTTGGACGTATGTTTCGCAAATATTTTCTCCCAGTGTGTCTTATCTTTCTACTTTCATAGCAGTGTCTTTTGAGGGTCAAAGTTTTTAATTTTGATTATATCTAATTTGTTGATCTTCTCTTTATTTTGGCATTTATAGTTCATGGTTTTTGTCTTATTTAAGAAATCTTTGTCAAGTCCGAGGTTACTACTCTTGTTTTCCTCTAAATGTTTTATAGTCTTGGCTCTTATATTTATGATTCATTAGTTTGTAGAATCAGAGAAATACTCATTTCTAAATACTAACTGAAGAGAATTAAATAATAACAATATGAATTTTTATATAGGCACCACCTGAGAATCAAGCTTTGACAAAAACCAACCACTGGGCAGAAACGATGAATGGAAAGAAATATGTTGAAATGTCTTGATTCCTATTTTAAGACTATATGACCATGGCTTATTTCTTGTTTCTTTTTACTTTTCTGTGTTTTCTGTAACAAACATTATCATCTATCATTATAAAAAATTGCAATATTGTAAAAAAGTCATTTAAGAGAAGGCTTCCCGCTTCCAAGCTGCCTTCACAATGCTCTTTAGTGCATGAATGGCCCTTTTGGAGAGCCAGGAAGGTGAGCACGCTGCCAGGCATCCCCCTTTCCCAAGCTTAACGGCAGGCAGAGATGTAATAAGGAATTTCCAAAGGAAAGTCTCCGAAGAGAATGTGAGTTTAGCTGAAGCCGCTAGGAGAAACCAAAGACAAAACCAAACGCAACCCTGATAAAGAAAGAGAACCACAGCAGAGGGCGGGCTGGGTGCCTGGCTTGCTCCACCCCCAAAATTGCTTCCCCTGAGTTCTGTGGTCACAGACCTGTGTACCAAACCGCTAGCTTCACTCACTCAATCTCCGCCAGCTAGGAAAGCTAATGAAATTCTCTCCCTGATGTGCTCACCGTCCTTTTATCTCAATCTGCTTGCAAAGGCAGCCTAAGTCTGCAGCCTCATAATCAGCCCACGGCTGGTCCAGCCGCCTCTCTGTGTGTGTGCACTCCTGCCTGTCTGGCGGCGGGATTTGCCTCTTGAGCTGCTGCAGAGGCCAGATTGGCTGATGGAATTGCCTACAGATGTTTCTCACAGAGAAAGATTACTTCCCTGATTGATGAGTATATAGAGTTGTCAACATGGTCTCCATGGTCAGAGGGGACCCCTGAAGTACAATGTGGAAAGACAGATGTTTCATCTGGGAAGGTGTCCAAGACCCTAAGAAGAGGTATGCATTTGGCTGATATGGCGGGCGGAGTCATCAGGCTCTGAGGGGGAGAGGAGGGAAGCTGGACCCACAGCCACAGCCAACAACACTGCAGGGCCTCCCGGGCTCAGGCCACCTCCCAAATGCTCTGAATGGAGTGGCATGCCTCCTCAATCGACCTCTTCTTTGGGCTGTTTTTTCAATGGACAAATGGGCAATGTTATCAGAAATGAAGTCGTCTTAGTCCTTACCTCCTGTGAGTCACAAAAGGGGCAGCAGAAAGGACACTGGAATCCTCATGCTAAACCTCATAGGCTTCCAATCAGACTGGGAAGGGGCAAGGCACCTGGAGTAACATGCAACTTTGGGGTTTGCTGGCTGACCTTCCAGAATGAATCAGATAATAACAACTATTATCATAACTGTGTTAGTAATTGGAAGGTAAATATCATTATGTGACACTAGTTTATGTACTTTATATACCTTTACCTTATTGAACTCTCACACAAACATACACACAAAATACCCTAGGCAAGGGTTAGTAAAATTTACTACCCGTAAGTCCTCTCTGCAAGAATTACCAGAGGATGTATTCCAGCAAATAGAAAAGAGGGGTGGGGCGAATAATTCATTAAACCCATTTTACAGATGAGGAAGCACAGATTCAGGAAGGTAAAGTAATTAACCAACCTCAGAATGGAGCCCAGATTAGTCTCATCCCCAAATCCATGCTTTAGCCACTGCAAGTCTGAGGTCACCAGGAGATGTGGGAGATGAGAACTACACTTTCAACACAGCAAGAATGTGCTGGTGCTTCCAACACAGACATGTGGTGTGCCCAGAAAACCGCTATTTACACCTGGATATACCTGAATGCCAATGAGACTCCTGCCTCTGTCTCAAAGAGATTTGAGCTTAAAACTAAAAATCTCTTATCTGGAACTTCCAGAAAGGGCTGTATTCCAGGAGGAAACAGGCAGTGGGCTCTCCACAATACATACACACACACACACACACACACACAAACACACATACACACATGTAGATATATATATACACACATACACATGTATACACATACACACACACAGAACCAGGTGGCTCAACAACCCAGAGCACTGACCCAAAGTGTATTTGGTATTTGCAGCAAAAGAGGACATATCGTCCCTCCTTCCGAGAAAGAAGAAATCAGGTGTGGCAGGAGACACTAGGATAGTTTTCTCAGAGTATGTATGTCTTAAAAGGAATTTCTAATAAAAAAATATGTTTATATCCCATTCCACAGCAAAATTGATTTTCGTTAAGAGTGGAAACAGGGTCTCTTGTTGACCTCTCTGGCCTCAGGGCCTAACGTGAACCTGGCACACAATAGGTACCCCGTGCCTTTCTGTGGGAGGACAATGAATGAGGATAGACAAGGACAGGTCAGTGGAGAGGCCAACATGAAGTAGTGATAAAGAACATAAGCAGTGGAGCTAGACAGCTCTGGTTTGAATCATGGCTGCCGCTCACTAGATATACAAGCAAATCTCCAACGCCTCTCTCTGCCTCAGTTCTCCCATTTTTAGAGTGAAGACAAAAATAAACACCCACTTGGCCAAATGGCCGGGAGAATTCAAGGATGGGGGTGCTGAGCACAATGCCGGGCACATGCTTGGGCTTTGGGGTGAGATCTCTTTACTTCCAGGAAGAGCACTCCTGTCTGAGGGAACAGCAAAGCATGCAGGTCTCACAGACACAAAGGCTGACTACTAGGCTAGCATCGGGCTAGGTCTGCTGCTGCAGGCACCAGGCTTGCAGAGGCCCAGGGGGTGGAGGCTCTGCTCCTGATGTCACTCCTGCTGGACCCTGTTTCCCAGGACAGAGCTCCTCAGGCAGGGTCAGAGGAAACCAGGTAGGGGGTTGAGGGAAATTAAAACACATTCCTCGCAAGTTGCTGAACCCAGAACTGGGAGTCCTAACGCCTGCGCCCGTCGCACACCTCTCTGCTGTCCAGGCAGTGTGACGAGAGGGGCGGCATAGGCACTGAAATTACCTTTCTCCCCCCACCACACCTGACCAACCCCACACTTTAAAAAAGCCTGCTTTTTGGGTCTGTGTGTCTGCTTTCTTGCTTTGAGTACTTCTGCAGGATGGAAGGCAGAAGTAGCCTGAAATCAAAGGCTCTTTCTGTCATTTGTAAAAGCCTACGCCCACTGGCTAGATAGTGCTGGGAGCAGCAAAGGCTTTGAGGACCCTGAAAAACAGTGGGGAGACGTCCCTTGGGCTGGGGAAGAGAGACTATCAGATGCTGCCCCCTGTGGGAAGAGCAAGACGTTATCAGAAGGAATGGTAGTGTGCTGGACACCCAGCCAGGCAAAGATGCCACATTGTTTATCAGTGATGGCAAACCTTTTGAGCTCAGCGTGTCAGCATTTTGAAAAACCCTAAATTAACTCTGGTGCCATGTTACATATAGAATTTTTTTGATATTTGCAACCACAGTAAAACAAAGACTTATATTTTTGATATTTATTTTATATATTTAAATGCCATTTAACAAAGACACATCAACCAAAAAAATGAGCTCGTGTGTCACCTCTGACATGCGTGTCATAGGTTCACCATCACTGTTCTATATGGTCATGGCATAGACAACCCCTGGTGGGAATGTCAGTGGCAACCAGGAGACTAAAGGTCCAGTCAGTGTTTTGTTACTACAAGCTTCCTGGGTCCTGGGGTCATTCTGGGAGGAGGGACAGTGCCAATAATGACCAAGGGAGGGTTTTCTGTTCCTCTGCTCAGATGAGGGCTCAGAGTCAAGCAAAGTTGATGTAAAGGAAATAAAGATATTGACATTCTTTGCAAATCTGTGTCTGAGAACCACAGCAGGAGTGCAGGTACCAAATCCCATATGAAACCATGGCACAAACACCCGCTCTGCCTCTGCCTCCTGCCCCCCGGTCAGCGATGGCGCACCCCCAGATCCACCAGATGGAGAGCACCCCCGACCTCCTGCCTTTACCTGGGGAGCAGGTGCTTGCGGCTGACACACAGGGCCGTCTGGTAGTCCTGGGTCACACACACCTTGTGGGGGCTGCACTTCACCTTCAGGCAGGGGTCTTTGGACGCGTCCAGGGCTGAGGCAAAAAAGAACAGACACGGGCGGTTAGAACCTCCAGGGAACATCTAATTTCTATTTCTACTCAAATAGATGTGTGGGACGTAAACACACCATGCGTTTGCGCTCTGCGCTGTTTTCTTAGACTGCAGGAGATGGGAATGGAACCGACACGGGGGAATTCCGTGTCTACTTCACATGTTTTCTTCACATCAGGAAAGTGATTCCATTGTGCCGTGGGGACCCGCAGCATCTTCATCTTTGGCAGAAATTACTTTTAAAATCCTCTAAATCCTACATGCTCTAAGGACCAAGAGCTATTCTCCCTCCTTGGTTATCTTTCTGCCATTGCTGTTTATGACTTCATCCGTGCCTAATTTTACTTATTTCCGACAACAGAAAAAGTCCTTGAGGACAGAGTTTTTTGTTCTTGTTTCTTCAGGGACTTCAGTTCAATCCGATGGACGCTGTGCATAAATGAGCCTATTTTAAGTTTTGTGAAGAACTTCCAGATGCACAAGACAGTTCTGCGCCACACACAGTTACAATACAAGAGGGAGGGGGAAACGCTTCCCCATAAATATTTATTGTGCAGGGAGAATTAGATAAGGGCCATGACGGGCATGTAAAGTGATAACAGAGCTGGAGAGAAAAACAGAGATCAATTTCTGGGGCAAGGATTAATGAAGCATTAATATGTGAATTGGATTTTGAAGGATGGGCAGAATTTTGAAAAGCAGAGAGAGAAAAGACACCCGAGGCCGGGTGGCCACATCCGCCAATGAAAGGAAGCATGTCTGGGCAATCATAAGATATTCCATCTGACTAGTAAGTGAGCTTTATGCCTGGGAATAATGACAGCGAGGACAAGCCGCTGGAGAAAGAGTCTCCAAGAACAGCAGTTCCTACAAGGTAACGCTTCCTAGAACAGGCAGAGCAGCAGGCCCCAGCTCATTAGCACCCCACCTGCTGAGGTGGCTCCTCATTGAGGCAGAGAAGTGACCGCAGGGGAGTCTCTGCAAAGCAAAAGCAATTGTGCCACCTCCCAGCTGCAGGGCCTGACGCCTGTGAGGCTATAGCTCTCTCATAACTGCTCTCCTGGGCCAGGAAGGTGAGTTTCCCCGTGTCTTCACCACCAAACATTTGGTTAAACAAATCAGCTTCCAGAGCAGGGACAGCAAAACTGCCACGAGAAATGCCATCCTTCCTCCACCGCGGGTCCCTCCCGCTCACTATCTCCCTGCACGCAAGCAGCCATTGTTCCTCAGCCCGCCCAGGCCCAGAATCTCAGCACCATTTTCCTCAGACGGCTGCTGGGAGTGTCTCCAGGGACCTGAACACAAACATCCAAAGGCATTTCTGCTGCTTGCACCGCTCAGGCTGCGCCCTCTGTGCAGCAGCCTCCAGCGCTGGAAACAGAAGCCAGGTGAGTTGTTAGGCCAGTCAGGTTGGCAACAAGGCTGCATCCTGGTCGGTCCCAGGGGAGCCACCTGGCAGAGCTTACTTCCCAAGGAACTGCTGGAGCTCAGCAGGAGGAAATGAGCTGCCAGATAAGAGAGAGGCTGCATGGAGCCCCCTGGGAAGAGGGCTCACTCTGAGCTCCTGAGCTGAGGGCTGCCTCCTGCGCTCTGGGTCTGCCTCACGGTCCTCTGGGGCTAGGCTTTCTGGGTGGATCCCTCTTCGTCCTGGGGACTTCCATACAAGACGCCCCAATGCTGGTGTGCCTCAGGCAGCCCTGTCCCCCACCCACCACTCCAGGTGGCAGTCCAACCAATTTGACTACTTTCCAAGCCACATCCAAACCTGAACCCACAATGAAGACTTGATGACCAGGTGACAATTAATGAGGACCACGCTGGCCCTTAGCTGCCCCTTCTCTCCCTCCAAACCACCTTGGGATGAAGCACTTATGGATCTCAAGAAACTTGGGGCCAGACCACTGGCAGCCAGGCCACAGGTGCCAGCCGAGGCTTCCCTGGCAGGTGCCACATAACCCTGGGGTTTTCACTGGAGACAGCTCAGAGATAGAGATTAACAGGCTGGCCTAGAGGGACGGTGCCACAACCTGCAGTGCTACGTGACAAGCTTTATGGCCCAATTCGAGCTTCTTTCTGCTTCTGCAGCCAACTTCACAAACATGCCATGTCCACAGGGTGGCCTGTGGGGCCTCACAGGACAGTGCAGTCCCAAGGCATGTCCATCAGCCGACATCATGGGGAAGAACACAGACTCTCAGCCCCATGTTTCTGAGTTTGAATGCTGGCTCTGCTGCTTACCAACCTTTCCCTTCCTCGGATGCCTCTTCTGTTAAATGGGGTAATAACTGTACTTCCTGTTGCTTTTTGTTATCATGAGGATTAAATGAGTTGATATTTGTAAGTACTTAGAAAAGACCTGGTACATGTAAGTGCTTAGCACAGACATCTTAGGTGTTTGTTAATTTAGTGTCTGTCTTTTGTCCTCAGAGTGAATAATAAGCCTCCATAATAACAAGAACAATAGCTAACACTTGGCCTGTGCTTTTGACATGCAGGCAGTGAACTAATCCCTCTCATTGGATTACCATATTTCATTCTCACAACATCCAAGAAGGTAGCTGCTGCTATGCCCATCCTATCTAATAAAGACGGAATATACAAATTGACCATCACTTCACGACAAAGATGGTGGCGCCTTCAGCCAATAAGGAGGGAATATGCAAATTGATGCAACAAAGATGGCGATGGCTGGGACGGATGCTTGTGTCATCGCCATGGCGACAATACAGGTGTTCCACCCTGCCCCAGCCAGCCGCTGTGGGCCTCTGGGTAGTGTGCAAAGGTGGAAGGCAGCTCTGGACCAGAGCTAAGGTGGAAAGGTGTCTCTGGGCTGGAGCGAAGGCGGTGCCGGCAGCCAGGGGACAGAAGGCCTATTCTTGCACGAACCTTTGTGCATCGGGCCTCTAGTTTTACAAATAAGGTCTGAAAGAGAAGTCCCTGGTGAGAGGAGCAGAGGGTATCTGACATCTGGTGGGGGGCTCCAGGACCCAAACTCCTTACCACCACAAGCCAGCAGAGAGAGAGAGAGAGAGAGAGAGAGACTTGAAAGAGAAACATTGATTGACTGCCTCCCACATGCACCCCAATCAGGCATCAAGTTTGCAACTTGGGCATGGGCCCTGACCAGGAATCGAACTGGCGACCTTTCTGTGCATGGGACAATGCCCAACTAACTGAGCCACACCAATCAGGGCTGGGATCTCCTTTTAAAAGCTGCTGTGGCCCTCACCTCACAACATATATAAAGCCAGATGCGCCATGTACCTGAGAGGCCTTCTGGCAGAATGAGTGTTAAGGGGTAAAAGCAGGGGCAGCCAGAGGCCTGGTGCTGCCTTGGCTGGGCCACACACACACCATCCCAGAAGGTGGGGTGCCAGCTCTGGGCAAGTGTGCCCTCTGCATACGCCCTCTGAATGCAGCCACCACCCAAAGGAGTCAACTGACCAGTGGGCGTTCCATTTTCTTCCTGCAACCTTGCCATCTGTCACCCTAGCATTAGGCTACTAGCACTGTAAGTCAACCCCCCCCCCACCCCCTATGCTTGACGCTAGCATTACTAAAACAAACAAAAAACTTCAACCAAAACAATAAATAAAAATCATCAGTTATTTAACTCTCTATGCATACTTCCTTAACAATTTTCATATAAAAATCAAGTAGGTTAAAAATTAATTATCGGGGACTGAATACTTCAAACACATATGAGAATTATTTAAATGAACTTCACAGAACAACAAAACAGTAACAGATCAAGCCGTCAGAGTTTATTTAATCACCAGGATTCATCTTGTTTTGAAAAACAGCAACACTGGAATTTAAAGGGGATGTGGATAGTTAAAGGAGTGTGTCGGTTCCATTTAAATGCGGCCTCAGTAAGCTTTCCCAGCAGCTCCAAGGCTCAGGTGACACTCCTGAAAGGTGACACTTATGAAAATCACCCAGCACAGGTTTCCGACAGAGCCATGTGGCTCCACTTCTAAAGGGAATGATAAGGCATCAGAATAGTAAGTGGAAGAGGCTCTTTAATAAGGTGCCAGGAAATGGTGCAGGTGCGGAGGGAAGGGGCGCCAGGAGCGGAGTGTCAGGGATAGCGCTGACCAGCTCCTTGTCCAGGTGCTAATGATTTCCAGAGACTGTGCTCCAGCGTTCGCTCACTGAACACATGCCCCATGTTAGGATGCAGCAATCCCTGTAAGTCGGCAAAGCCAACCACGTCCCCTGTGCCTCTTCTGTCTCAATAACCTGCAGGACTTACATGGACTTAAATAGGACAGTGAGCCTAGCACAGAGCAGATACCCACAGAGGTCAATGTCATCTTTCCTGCCCATGAGCAAGTGTCAACTGGCACATGATTCATGTCCAATTAATTTTTAATATTTTTTACAAAAGCTTTTCTCAAAGAAAAAATGAATTAATTTAAAGAGAGATTTGTTGAGCAGGAAAACATTGGATTCGAAAGCCAATTAATTATAGGTTACATGTAATTTTAAAATTAATTTTATTCTTCAAGCTCACGGCTTGATCTCAATTAAGGTACTGTAGTGATATTTTAATTATCCTAATTGTTTCCGAACTTGTTTTCAGTTCGAGTTATTTTTTAATTAGCTGCATTGCTTTTAAAATCCTGACTCAAGCCTTTTCGCTGTCCTTGGGCACATTCTGCAAAGCTCACAGGCAAAGGGCCATCCCAGCTGTCGCAGCCGAGCCGAGCGGGGACCCCCTCAGAGATGCTGGGAGGAGAGGATGTTCCATTTTGTGCTTTGCCCTAGGGTCCCTGAGAGCCACCAGGGGGAGTGACGCATGCTTGTGTTTATTCCATTAACACTTGAAGGGCCTCCATTCTGTGCAGGCCCATTTTGGCAGGCGGGATCCAGCCTTCCCAGGGGTCAGGGAAGACTTCCTGGGAGACTGGCATCTATGGAGAAGTGGGCTCAACCCTCATAATAGATTGAGGAGGAACCTTCTGGATAAAAAGAAGCTCCCCTTCCAGACTCAAAAGAAACCATAGCAGACCTGGGACCTGCAGCATTTCACTAGGTCAGAGCCCGGGGCAGGAGGGTGAGTGAGAAGGCTGGAGAGTGTGGCAGCCTCATGGCTGAGGGCCTGAAAACCAATGAGGACACTGGGGCCATGCTCCCAAGCCCCACCGTGACGACACCTTCCCATGCTGGGTAGAAGGGGTAGGAAGGGAAGATCTTTTACACACATTTTATGTGGAGAGTGGTCCTTTGCTAAGAATTTGTATGCTCACACCCTCACCCTCCAAATGACAGGGGGGTCAGAATGGAGGCCCCAGTGCTCAGCCCCTATTGCCCACTTTCCTCCTCTGAGGGACCTCCATGCTTCCTCTCTGGGGCCATTAGCTGCACAGAATTCTGGGAGGCAACAAGCCTAGATGGTAAGACCAATCAGCCAAGACTTAGCCTAAAACAGCCCTGTCAACATGTGGTCCACTCTGGTGACCCCTAGAAACTTGCTCAGACAAAAGGCCACTCGATTTGCTAACAGTCGACAATTTAACGACTGTCTGTTGTCTCCTTATTGCTTTTAAGGTTGCTCTCTGCCCGAATCATGCTCATCTGAAGTTCCTGTGAAGAGCAAAGACACTCCTAGTGACTCATTAGAAGTGACTTAATGGATGACTGACAACAAAATTACCCTAAACTGTTAAAACCTCGGCAAGCTCAGATCTCAAACATTTATTACAGCTTGTCTGTCCCCATGGTAACCTGTGCATGCATCTTGTTTCCACCCCACCCCCAACACACACACCCTCCAGAGGGTCTTGTTTACTAGCTGATTCGATAGAGCTTCACAGAATAAAAAATAGAAGATTCCACCCATAGTATTTTGCTGGAACCAGAGAAGTATGGCGGCGTGAAAAGCCTGTCATTGTTCTCAGCTTTCAAACCAAGGGGTGGGCCAAGCTCTCTGAGGTTGAACAAAGCGGCCTATTGGCCGTGCATCTAAACAGGACAGTCAGCTGAATGATGTGGATGGCTGAGCGTGTGTGCCCAGGGAGTGGGGCATAGGAGTGCGTGAGGACCTGGGACAGACAAGGACAAAGGGACACAGGATAGAAGTACACATCTGACCAAAGATACCCCTCCTGGGACGAGACCTTTCCTTTCCCTTTAAAACAAGGGCCTGAGGACTCATTTCTTTCTGTGTTTAAACTAAGAGTTCTACGCACAGGTGTAGGTGTGTGTGTGTGTGTGT